CATTCTTCATTTACAAAATCTGAGGTTATCAAGATCAAAGCAGATATCATAACCAACTAAGAATATAATATATAACAAATTGATACAGGGATACCTGAGTGTACCTAAGCATGGGCTAGAATGACACACTTTCTACATTGCTTGCTCAGAGGAAAGGAGGTAGTAAGCAGGTCTTTCACCACTTCTGGGGATGTAACATATTTCTTCCTTTCCTCCAGTGTGCCTACCAAGTGATTCTGATAGGTGGAGCCAAGTTCTTACGGATGTAAATAAATTTTGTAGACTAGCTATTACGAGGAAAGAATCAGAGGATAAAGTAACAGGGCAAAGGAAAATGTTAGTGAGAATTATTATCAATTGTGAAAATATCCATGATGGTGCTTTCTTAATGGTTTTCATCTAAAAAAAAAAGAACTTTGGAAACACCAATAAGTCTGAAGAAGAGACATCAACATTCAGACCATGGGTTAATGACTTCCATGAATTTTTCAGAGTGTACAAGTCACAGAGGAGTAGCCATGCTAGTCTGTATCTGAAAAAACAAGGAGAAGTCCTGTGGCACTTTAAAAACTAACATTTATTTGGACATAAGCTTTTTACCCTCAAAAGCTTATGCCCGAATTTGTTAGCTCATATTTGAAAGCTTTCACGTTCTGTACACTCCGAGGAGTTCTGTGGCATCTTAAAGACTAACAGATTTATTTAGGAATAAGCTTTTGAGGGTAAAAAAGCTTATGCCCAAATAAATCTGTTAGTCTTTAAGGTGTCATAGAACTCCTCAAAGGCTGTGTCTAGACTACATGCCTCTGTCGGCAGAGGCATGTAGATTAGACAGATCAGCAAAGGCAAATGAAGCCGCGATTTAAATGATCGCGGCTTCATTTACATTTACAGGGCTGCCGCGCTGAGCCGACAAACAGCTGATCAGCTGTTTGTCGGCTCGCCGCTAGTCTGGACGTTCCCTCTGTCGACATCAAAGCCCTTTGTTGGCAGCCCCGTTATTCCTCGTGGAATGAGGTTTACCTTTTTCCTCTTTCCTCTTCTTTCAAAAGAACTCCCTCTTCCCCGTCCACACATGCCTTTTTCCGAAAGAGCTCTTTTGGAAAAAGGCTTCTTCCTCATAGAAAGAGGTTTACCAATGTTGGAAAAACCTCTCGGTTCTTTCAATTTCTTTTCAAAAGAACGTGATTGCAGTGTGGACGTAAGTGAAGGGTTTTTTGGAAAAAGGCCTTTTTTCAAAAAAACTCTATAGTGTAGACATAGCCTGAGTTGGACACAATTCAACTTCTATCTCTTGTTTTTTAAAATAAAGATTTCATAATGTCAGAGAATTGGGGTCAGCCTCAGGGCCGGCCACAACATTTTGGCACCATGACGCCCCCATGCTGCCTCACTTGGGCCAAAACTTTGGAAGGTCCCAGTTCTGCCTTCTTCCTTTTCTACTCCTCTCATGGCACTCCACCATCTCTGTGCATCTAGAGCAGAGAGAATACATATGCACCAGCAGCAGACACAATTTTCTACACTCTGGGTCCTAGTGGCACTTCCCCCCCCCACAGACTGCCACCTGAGGCGGCTGCCTCAGTTTGCCTCATGGTAAGGCCAGCCCTATCCAGATTCTGAACCCTATTATGTGGGAAAGGGATGTGTGGGTTTTCTGTCACTTAGCAGTGAAGATTCCACTTTTCATGCAAAATATCAGGGTAGGTACCACTTTTTCCTGCATTGGGCAGCTGCGTGTCATGGAGAAACTTTAAATCTACTACTGCTAGAGCTTCCCCCACTGTGGAACTACAGTAATGCTCCATCTATGTAAATCTCATCCAGGCCACAGACCTCCAGCTGTGTTGCATGTCAGCTGAATGCTGAGTCAGGATTTGTCTCTTTTCTAGCAGCATTTCTCATTCTCCATGCATACATTATCAGCCATTATCCTTTTCTAAGTAAATACTAGGATTGTTTGATCTGACAAGAGGACTACCTCTTGGAGAAAGAGGCAGAAAACCCTGTGTTTTATGCACCTCTGGTGTTAGTTTATTTTAAACATTTTAAAAATGTGTCACTTTATCTGTTTTTCTGCACCTTATTGTACTTTTGTTTCACTGGGCAAGCCTGTGGCACCTTAGAGAGTAATAAATTTATTTGGTTATGAGTTTTCATGGGTAAAAACCACTTGATCGGGTGAGTTGAAGTGGACATTACAGAATCCAGAGTATATATAATAGCAAAAGAAGTTACCTGTCAATTGTAGGACCAATGTTAATGAAGCTAAATAAATCAGGCTGGACGTGTCTCATTCATAGCATGTGATTTGGAAATGTGAATATCAAAGGCAGAGAAGTTGCCTTTGTAGTGCATTAACCACTTAAGATCTTTATTCAAGCCTAAGTTGTTTGTTTTGAACTTGTGAATTAACCTAATAAATGTGTAGACTTTAAGGTGTCATAGGACTGCTCATATGCCATCATTTGCACATTAGAAGCATACCCTTCTTGAAGATTACTTTCTGCTATGGTATCGTGTATGATTAGAGTACGACTAAACAGCAGGGCTAAAGTCGAATTAAGCTACGCAACTTGAGCTACGTCAATTGCATAGCTTAAGTCGAAATAGCTTAATTCAGCTTTTGGCGCTGTCTACACAGCAGGAAGTCAAAGGAAGTACACTCTTCCTTTGACTTCCCTTACTCCTTGTGAAATGAGGGTTACAGGAGTCCCAGTAAGAAGTCCTCCAGATCGACATTATTTAAAAATAATGGTTTGCCGTGTAGACGGCCCTTCTTCATCACTGACCAACTCTATCACAAACAAAAATTCTAGTTTGATTGTTTATTACATTTTTTTCCTTTGATAAGAATGTGTGCATACCTATTCTAATCATTCTCCTTTTAACTGAAGACAATCTCCTTTTCACATTTGAATTTCATGAGCTACATATTTTTTCGAAGATTTTTTTTCTTGGATTGTTGAACTTGTTCCATGTAACCTCCCTCCACTCTCCAATCTGAATTATATATATATAGAAGTGTTATTTAGGAAGGGTGTCTGGGATGAGAATCTTGAGCATTTGAGGGGCTAAGGCAAAACACTTGTTTCATCATTAGATATTTATGTAAATCTGGGATTTGCATAAAAGGATTACTGGCTTTCTTCCATTGTACTATGCACCATTAAAATAATCACATTTGAACCTATAATTAACTCCACTTAAAAGGAAGAGAAAATAGTCAAGGCATTTAAAAAGTTAATGTTAAGTAGAATTTCTTATTCCAAATTATTATGCCATTTTGGATAACCTAATGCTTAATCATCTTTTTTATATTGTTTTAGAAGTTCTGATTGGGAAAAAGAATCAGAGCTGAAGATGTTGAAATTTGGGCCTATTTAATTTAAAGAGAAGTAAAAATAAATACACAAGGTAAGAGGAAAACTAAGGAAAGGTAGATTCTGATGCTCTATTACTTATATCTTAGCTGCTAGAGAAACTATAGCATGTGGTTTAATTTGCCAATATCTTGCAGACATTTCTTAGAAAGTGAAGGCACTGGTTTTAGCTACTCCACTTTTCTTAAATCACATTCGCATTGCAAGCATCTCACTCAAACATCCTTCATCTCATAAAGCAAATGTGATGTTCCCTTGTGGAAATATCAGAAAGAAAGGGGAAGTTAAGGCTATAGAAAGAGTAATTTATACCATGAAAATGAACCTCATAGCATTTTAAGTTTCCCACACAAATAATTTTTGTACCTCTCATTTTGGGCCTTTGTCTCACATTGTATGTCATTATTGGACCTTAGCAGGTGGGAGCTGAACAGGTGGTGGTACGAGGGTTGTGCTTGGGGAGATGGTGTGAAGCAGCGGGTTATTGAGAATTAAGAAAAAAACTAATGTAGACATGGCTCTAAAGTTCAAACCTGCAGCATTTCATGTCACGTATGCAGGAGGAACTCATGTATGGAACATTACCTATTAATTGCATTTAGATGTTTCTATTCTGTGTGTTTAGCTATCAGGGAAAAAAGTGATGGGCTGAGGGATATATACCTGAATAATGGCTGATATGGAGTCACACCAACCCAAGGGCTTTCCCCAGTGCTTAATTTGTAATGAAAAAGGTGCTGGCGCTAAAAGCCCAGTGGTGTCAGGACTATGAACTTCCAACCTAGAGGTGCCGGGGCTCAGTTCAGGCAAGCCTCAGCAGAAATCAGACACTGGCTTTTCCTACTGTGCAGTGTGGGATGGTATCCACAGGCACCTTTAGTTTGGTGAAACCTGTTGTTCCTGGAGCACTCTGCCTTTTTTGTGGGTTTGAAGCAAGGCTATAGTCCTACCACTTCTCTATTTGCTCTGAGGCAACACGTGCCTTCAGGAGCACATGGCGGAAGCAGAAACTAGAATTTGCGGTATTTATATGATACGTGCAATGAGGAAATGTGTAGATCCATGTATCCCTCCCTGTGCATATGTGACAGAGTCACTTACAAATTGGCTTTATATGTAGAAAGAATAAAAATGTTGGCTATTTTATTTTAATTCTCGGCATCTTTTTTCTTAAGAATCACTGGGCAGGACATACGAATGTGTGCCACAAAATTCATTTGAGATAATAATTACAGCTTTTTCCAGCAAAATGTAGTCACTTTCTATTACTTCACAAAGAGGCAGTAGAGGTTAATATTTGTCAAATGTTGTGGAAATTTAAGATTTAAAGTATTGGGAAAAATATCAACATTTCCAATAATTTGCATCAGTTTAGAGAGATAATTACATTACTATGAATTGGTTTTTCTCCTAATCAATTCAGGAAGCACTTTAGCATTTCTAATTACATTAACTCACAACAGAAGCTGTTTCCCCTATTTTGGGTCAGATAGTGAAAGAACTTTACTCACTACTGTAAACTAGCTGAGTGCACCATCGACAGATAGCTTTATCTCTTCATGCTCAGCTATTACCGGTTGGAATTTATGATTTCTTAAAAACAAAGTATTGAAAGTCCATAAAGATTGAGACCTATTAATGAATGTTTCTTTATCTTTTAAGGAACTCTCCACTTGAACAGCAGCTGGTTTACATCCAAAAAAAAATCATGGAGAATTTAGCTTTCCTTTGGGGGTTGCTATAGAACTACAGGTTGGTCCTCTCTAATCTGGCATTCTTAGGACATGGTGGCTACGTCTACACTGGCCCCTATTACGGAATAGGCATGCTAATGTAGAACTTTGGAAAAGGCAAATGCGCGGGGGATTTAAATATCCCCCGCGGCATTTTCATTTTCATGGCCGCCGCTTTTTTCCGGCTTGGAGATAAGCCGGAGAAAAGCGTCCAGACTGGCGCGATCCTCCGGAATAAAGCCCTATTCCGGAGGATCTCTTATTCCTACTTGCAAGTGACTTGGTGACAAGATCTTGCAAGTAGGAATAAGAGATCCTCCGGAATAGGGCTTTATTCCGGAGGATCGCGCCAGTCTGGACGCTTTTCTCCGGCTTATCTCCAAGCCGGAAAAAAGCGGCGGCCATGAAAATGAAAATGCCGCGGGGGATATTTAAATCCCCCGCGCATTTGCCTTTTCCAAAGTTCTACATTAGCATGCCTATTCCGTAATAGGGGCCAGTGAAGACGTAGCCCACCAGTTCCAGATGAGGGTTTTTGCCGGACCAGAGGAGGTCATATGAGACTCCCCTACTACTGGCTCCCCCCAGCCCTGGACCAGCCGCTGGCCTCCTGGACAGCTCCTCCCTCACCCAGCCACTGGGACTGATACCCTGCCAGTCCCACTCTCTGCTAAACCAGGCAGCCCAGCTCCCTGTGCGTCGGGCTCCTGGCCATGCCAGGCAGCTCCCCCGCTGTGGTGCACTGGGCTCCTGGCCCTCCTGGGCAGCCTTGCAGTGGTGCACCGGGGTCCTGGCTCTGCCAGGTAGCCCGGCTAGGTTGTACCTAGCAGTCTAGCCACCATCCTTCCACTGAGACACTCTCTCTGGTCCTGGAACATCCGTGGTCCTGCCATATCACGGATGTTGCCAGACTAGGGAGTCCTGGTTAAAGATGTTCAACCTGTACAAGCACATTTGAACAGCCATACTTGGTCAAATCAGTACAGTATCCTGTCTGGTAGTGGCCAGTGCTTCAGAAGGAATGAACAGAACTGGGCATTTTTGAAAGATCCGTCTCCTGTTATCCTAGAAGCGATTTAGGGACACCCAGAACATAGAGTTGCATTCCTGAACATCTGGGCTAATATCCACTGATGGACTTATCCTACATAAACTTACCTAATTATTTTGGAGCCTTTTGGATTTCATACCATCCCCTGTACTGGGTTCAACAAGTTATATTTTTATGACCCTTATCAAAGAAGATACTGCCTACTTTTTATTCATTGTTTCATTGCATTGTCTCTTCCATCTTTTCTTTTTCTCTCATCTGAAAAAAAAGAAATGAGGATTCAATACCATGTGATCAGCCTGCTCCCTGTGAATCATCTACAAGTGCTCTTGTGACCACCATGGGAAAACCTCCCTGTAGAGGAATACTGTACTAATCAAGGTTCTGAATTTTGTCTGTGCTATATAATCAAGGTCCTATTTGTTGCAATCAACAGAGTTTTAATAACTTTTTTTACAAGATGAAGGTGGTTAGTCCCATGGTCCTAGTCAAATTGTAATTTGGGTAATTGTTTCCTGCCTACTTTAATTCTTACTGTGGTTTGATTTGGATCCAGATTCAAAATTGTCACCTAAATCAGCAATTCAGAGATAAGATTTGCTGCTTGCAAAGAATGCTCAACTTTTGAAAATATGGTTCAAAATACTCTTCTTCACTTCTCTTACACTGTTGGATTGTGTAGCGTGTGGCAGAAATTATTTGTTGAGTTTTGTCCCAGAGATGATACCTATATTCCCCAAGTTTGTAACATGCTTAGGAAGGGTATACGAAGAAAAGGGCAATATAAATATTATTTAGTTCACTCAAGGTAATGACATTCAGAGCTAAATTCTCCTTTATGCACTCAAGCCAAGTGAGTGGGCTGTATGCTGGCGGAGCCACTGGAATCTGGTGGTAAGGAACACATCTTCCCCTAAGTCTGTGGAACATTTGCAGACTCCAACTGCAATGAATTTTGTGCCCCACCTATTGAAGTGGGAGGGATAGCTGATGACTCCAGATAGCTGTAAGTATGCCTCCATTTCTACCCAGATCCACTATAGCGACATCCCACTGGTGGTGTTGGGAGTCACCATTGAGAAGCTTGCTGATGCGTAGGGCATAAGAATTCACTTGTGGGTTCTCAATACTTTGCCTAACCCTTGTATACTAGAGAATTGTTATGGGTTTTTCATGACCTTGTTGGAATAGCAAACATTTGACTATTAACGGTAAACTGGGCTGGAAAGCTCTTTTTTTAAATTGTCCTACACAGTGAACTGATTTCATTTCCCATTTTTATCATTTTCTCCTAACTGACTTTATCAGGATTGGGTGAGGCACCTTTGTTATGGTTATCTGGTTTCTGATGGAAAAAACAATGCATAATTTAAAAGGAATGAATTGCTGCAGATTGTCTAGCAGAATCTTATGCTTGTTTCCTCTTCTCTTCATTAGAGAGAAATATGTCCAGGGCAGACCTGTGGTTTATTTGTTGGGTTTACTTGCAGTTCTGAATTTGATCA